CTATAGATCCATGCCCTTTAAATTGTTTTAGTATTTATAATGTTTCAAGTTTATCTATCGTTTTGGAAAAAAAAAATGTTTCAACTTTATGATTTATATTTTATGTACTTAATTTGGTCAATCTACATAAAAAAAAAAATTCATAGTTGTATAAAATTATTATTCAAACACAATTCACTAAAATTTAAAACTTAAATCAAATTTACATAATAATTTATGTATTTTTTTAAAATATATTTATAGATACGTATATAAAAAACTAAGAAAATAGAATAAGAAAAATTATTATTTACTTCAAATAAATTTTAAATATCTAACATGGTGACATATGATTGGACCCTCATAGTGGGTAATACATTGAAAACATAAATGAAAAATGTGTGTGAAGTTAGTTTCTTAAAAAATTATTTAACATGAAATGCCACATGTTCGTGCATTTTTCCCGTATTAGTTTGAAAAAAATTAACTTGGAACCCCGCGCATCTAAAGCACCTTTTACTAGTAACATTATGTTGAGAATAAATACAAATATGATAAAAGAGATAAACAACTATTTCAAACATCAATAACATGACATTTAAATGAAAAATGACATTATAACGAAGAACTAATGGCGCTCATAAATCATAGGCGTATTATTTGCTCAAAGTAAATATAAAATAACAATATATAATTTTATAAATTAAAGTGTAGAAGTAATTAATAACTTATAAAATAATATAAGTTAAATGTCGAATTGTTATTATGAAATATAATAAAATCCTCCCTATATATAATTCTCGAATGCGCTGAGCCTATGTGGCTGCTTCTGGTGCTTCGGAATCCTACTTGGCGAAGAATCATGCTTCGTAATTAGGTTTGGACAAATAATATTTATATATTAATAATTAATAATCTAGGTTCGGACATTCCATAAATATTATTTAGCTAATTTAAGTATTTTAATATCACTTGTACTAATATAACCCTTTAATTCTTTATAACTTTACATAGTGAGGTACTAAGTGACTAATATATCCCTAACTTTTGATTTGTTTCCTTCAATTAGCTATTGAATTGTAAATATATTTTAAAAGTTGATAACTTTTTTATTTGTTATCGGTTTACATATATAATATATCAAATTAATCATCTTTTGATGATCTTCGATTTGACATCCATATTGTATATATGAAATAAATAAAATATATTAATCTTTATAATAATAAAAATTAATAATATTTTTTAAAATTTATTAGAAAAATAAAATTATTTCTCAATTGATACTACAATTTGTGTGTTGTATGGGTGGATAAGCTAGTATTAGTTAAGAGTTTCACAAGCCTTTTGCACTTTAATCGTTTATTTTCCATCCGCATGTGTTTCGATTGACACAAAAGCAAGTGAAATATTTTTGTAAGGAATTTTTCCACCCAAAATTTATTGAAGAAAATTAGAAAGTTAACAAAATGTCAAGCCATTAAAAATTACGAAGTAATTAATAACTTATACAAAAATATAAGTAAAAATCAAATTGTTATTACAAAAATATAATAAAATATTATTTAATAATATATTATTTTAGTTATTGACAAAATATTATATAAAAGTTACGATGTAATTAATAACTTACAAAATAATATAAGTTAAAAATAAATTGTTATTATGAAAATAAAATAAAATATTATTTAATAATATATTATTTTAATTATTTTACTATATTTGTAATTTCTTTTATAATATAAATGCTTAACATTATTTTTTTAGTTAATTAAATTTATAACTATTTCCTATAAGTTCTAATTTTATTAATTATTATTCTCCAAATATATTAAACTCCTTTTTTATATATTATATTACTTGGGTTAATTAACATATAATTCAAACTATTATTCTTTATAATTTTTATCTTACATATTGTAAACAAGGAGCATAATATAATTTATAACTCAAATTGAATTAATGAGAAAATTAATCAGTATAAGCTAGCTTTTTATCGGGATTTAACAAAATTATTTCAAGAATTTTAAAAATATCTAAAGTAAATTGTGGAAATATAAGTACACATCCAAATCAAAAACTAATTTGCATCCGTTAACCAAAATAAAATATCCACTAAATTAAAAATGAAAAAAAAAACACAAAATATAAAATGGAAACAAACATACATATATGTAATGTTTTCATTATTTTACAAACCATTGATGTCATTATATGTGAAAATGTTATAACTAATTAATTTGGTCAAATAGTTGCCTTCTATGGATGATTAAATTATAATATTACATTATACAAAAATTAAGATACATTTATATTGAAGTAAATAATTTTCTGATGTAATAGACATGTGCAACAGATCTATGCGCTTTAGTTATTTTTAGTATTCATAATATTTCAAGTTTATGTTTCATATTTTATGTACTTAATTTGGCCAATCTACATAAGAAATCCATAGTTACATAAAATTATTTTTCGAACACAAGGCATTAAAAATTAAACTAAATTTACATAATAATTTATGTATATTATCCAAATATAATTATATAGATACATATATAAAAAAAACCCCAAGAAAATAGAATGAGCAAAATTATTATTTACTCCAAATAAATCTTAATATGTAAGATGGTGACTTATTATTGGACTCTTATAGTGGGTAACACGATGGAAAGCTAAATAAAAAATGTGTGTGAAGTTATTTTCTTAAAAATTTAATTAACATGAAATACCACATGTTAGTTAATTTTTCTCGCATTAGTTTGAAAAACATTAGGTTGAAAAATTAGAAATATAAAAAAAAAGAGATCAACTGCTATTTCAAACACCAATTACATGACATTAAAATGAAGAATTAATGGGTCGCTTATTAAATCATAAGCGTATTATATAAGTTGACATCCAAAACCTGAAACTAATTAAAAAAATTGCATCCATTAACCAAAATATAATATCCACTAAACCAAAAAAAAAAGAATACCCAAAATATAAAATAGAAATAAATGTTTATATAATTAATGAACAATTACTACTCTCTCTCATTAAATGGACTCTTAACAATGACAATTAAGCCATCAAAAAATTAAAAGAGTAATTTAATTTTGTCTATCTAAATTTATTCAAAAACATTCACACTTTTAAGTTAGTAGAGATAGAGATTATATATACTCGGTTATCAAACCTTGTGTGTTGGTGAATACTGAAGAAAAAAGGTGAAACTTACACTTGTTTGTTGTGTTTTGGGCTTTGATAGATCATGTTCAGTGTTGAGCTTTTTTATGCGGTTTATTGATTGAATTGAGCCTTACTTGCTTGTGTAGCCTAATCAACCCAATCAAAACCACCTTAATAATAATAAAATCCCTAATTTCAGGTTTACGAGGAGTCGAGCCTCAAACAGTTTTTTCATAATTGCCAATGCCAAAACATGTGGGTTATTCTTAATTTCTGTCATAAATTGTCAATAATTTGCTGGACGGTATGATCAATGTATGTGTGTGAATCATGTAGCCTATCGATGTGTGTCGTTTCGGCCTTCGGTACGGTTGTCCCCGTCGATGTAATACGGTGCCTAATGAAAGACAATCTCCCTAAGACCTAATGAAAAACCGTGTCGTTGGTAATGTTGAGGTCACGACATGTACTCCCCATCGTTGAGTAATGAATCTCCTTCCCTGGCTAATGATAGATGTGTACACAAAAGTATGATGTGATTAGGAGATGTGACATGTTGATTGATTCATGTTCATTATGCGATCATACCTATCTATCATTTATATTTAATTTAGTGTAAATAGCTATTTTCACCCCGTTTTGATGTCTTGTTAAGTTCTTCACACCGTCCAATAAAAAACTATGTTTTTCACCCAAGAAAGTGCAAAAGGCATTGTGCGATGAATATGCGACAATTGCGCGATGACATTGTGCGAAAGTTAAAAGTGCGAAGACATTCTCATATCTCTTCGCACATTTTGGGGTGAAAAAAAATTAAAGTGCGAAGGCATTGTGCGATAAATATGCGACAATTATGCAATTGATATGCGACAGTTATGCGACGATTTTTCGCATAACCTTCGCATATGCGACAGTTATGCGATGAATATGCGACAGTTTTCGTATAACCTTCGCACTTTCTGGGTGAAAAACTTAGCTTTAATTGGGCGGTGTGAAAAACTTAATGTGTCTTTGTATTGGGATGAAAAAGATTTTTTCCCTTTAATTTATGTGCATAG